AAACCGCTGTCTGAGCGTGGATAGCAGTTGCCACCTCTTTGAGTATCTCAAGCCTCTGGTCGGTGCGTCTGGCTCTAATCCTTGCGGCAGCGAACAAAGGGCCTGCCCGATTAGCAGGTGCCCTGGAGTGAGCGCCTCCCCCTCATTGGGATCGGTGCTGGTTGGAGTTAGAGGCCGAGAATTGAGCACGGCCTCGGTGTCCGATAGATAAGCCCCGACCTCGGCTTCGGTTAGGGACGCGTCTGCGACTTGACGCACGAGAATTTCCTTCGCTGACTTCACGGCCGCCTCCCACAAACAGCCGAAGTGCGGTTCCTCTTAAACAATTAGTTTCTTTTATCAATAATAATTACATTTTTATGTTTGATATTTTGCAGTTTTTTTTTTAATATCATCTTTTTTGACACACTTTTTACATTATGATATTGAATGTGCATATTTTTACTATGTGTAACGACTGGATTCTTTATTAGACAAATCTCTAACCATCTTTGAATCGCATCTTTTTTTTTTCGCGCGGAATCATACGAGAGAAGACTGACGAGAGATATAAAAGTATAAGTAAAATTTCGTGAAAAAATTAGATTAATTTTGTGCCTATGTAAGCATTAATTGTTTAATTGTTTGTTGCAGAGACTATAGGAAAAAGTCTATAATAGTCAGAACCTAGTACTCTGAAAGGCTCATGCAAGTCATATATAGATCTACAATGATTTAATATTAGTAATATTAATAAATCTACTTGGCTCAGAAAAGTAAAGCCAAACTATCAAGTCGGCGCTATCAATATCACCACGAAAAATGTTGTAAATGAAGACAGTACCAAGAATCGTTTTACGGTCGTTCGCTCGACACATCAATCCTAAGTCACTCGAGGTGCCCAAGCCGAGCAACAACACAACTAGCCAATAACTTTATCGTAGTTGAGAGGTGGCTATCTGATTGGCGTATTAAAATAAATGAACAAAAATGTAAACACGTTTACTATCTCAGCGTCCATCTCGACAGACGACTAACCTGGAGAACCAACATCAAATGCAAGAAACTACATCTAAAACTAAAAGCCAGCAGATTCCACTGGATATTAAACGCTCGATCTTCCCTGCGTCTTGACTACAAGGCCCTGCTCCACAACTCCACTCTCAAGCCTATGGCTCCAAGGTTGACATCATCTACCGCGCACAATCGAAAATCCTGAGGATTATCACTCGGGCACCATATAAAACGAATATATCAACTGCACATAACAAGAGCAAGAAGTGTTCGCAAGCTACAATATATAATATTGGTGTGTATAAGTGAGTGCGCCTACTCCCGAATTGGCAATGGGCAGAGCTTTGATACGGATCGTTTTAGCTGTCCTTGCTTGGTTTTAAGTGTTACCGTCCCTGGGTGTAACTGCCGAGTAACCATTGTGATGGTGGGAACTGGTCATCCTTGATGACAAGGTCGTTGAGTTGAAAACTTTCAGTTTCCTGGCATTACTTTATTCTTTCTTGTATATGAGGTAACCAGTCACGACTCCAAGCCTTCCAGAAATGGCGTATCATCGTCTGCTGTATAAGGAACTGCTCTGCGAAGGATCCCGATTGTGGCTGATATTCTGGCGGCGCCAGCATTGAGTCTCCGATAAGAAAGTGCGCTGGGGTGAGCTCTTGTAGATCGTCCGCGTCAGCTGTGAGAGGGCAAAGCGGTTGTGAGTTAAGGCACGCAGTTCACCGAAGGAGAGGGATTGGAGTGGCATGTTATCCGCTGCGAAACAAGTTTGGGGGCGATGAGCTTTTCGTAATTCGCTTGAAGCTGACCGTACACCGTCTTCATCACATTGTCTGCACCCACAAAGTTGGTTCTGTTGTCACTGTAAAGGTGCTAAACCATTTCTAGTCTTCCGGTGAACCCGTCCAGACCCTAAGCACTGCCTTTGTTGCGAGACAAATGAAAACAGCGATGTATCCTTTGTTAAAGCTAGTACCTCGTAAACGAGTTGCTTTAATCTCTATCGCGCCTGTGTAGTTGACACCAGCTGCGAGGATGGTCGAATAGGAGGGTTGACTCGATGAACGGGCAAGTCTCCCATAAGCAGTAGTTGCTCGCGCCCTGAACTCTTTGAACTGCTTGGCTTCCTGTCCAGATCCAAAATCGTTGGCGCGTGTGTGCCAAAGTCAACTGCGCACCTCCGTGTAACGTTAGATAGTGCGATTGCCGTATTATTAATTCTGTGAAATGATGAGAACTTGGCAGGATTATTGGATAACGACGTTCGGGAGACAAACTAGAATGGCAAAGGAACGATCCAAAACAAAGGCGAATCTATTTGCGACAAAGGTCTTCCATCTATAGACGTCTCCATGCAGCTAGTGCTGCACAACTGAAGCATCCGTCCAATAAATGGTATTTACAGGAAAGAAACTAAGAAACTTAGTCATCGTTAGCCACCTTAACAATTCGATAGCTAACCTTTTGTTCGAGGTATAGTTGAGAGCTTCGCGGGAGTAACCTTTGTGTTGGCAGTAATCAGGGATGAATAGCACATTCCGTCCTGATGATCCAGCAGGTGCATTAAATGTGCAAGATCAGTCGCAAAACGCATGAATCTGTAGTGAGGATACGGAAGCTGAATTATAATGGATCCACGGAATTCTGCTTATCTCGCCGATCCTCAGCGAGCCGTCTCGAAATATTCGACATAGCTCAGCAATATCGGAAACCGCACCTTCACAGTCCAGAACCATCTGCATGCACTCTCTTGACCATGTTTACGTCCAGCAATATTAGCTTCCCGAGATGGTGACTGGTGCAATGATACCCAGCGTCTCAAGCAACCTTGCTATCATCCTCAATCTCAAAGTCGAGCCGGTACTTAAAGCAGTCCTTATTTGGGAGCCAATACATTCCTAAAGCCTTTATATGACCTGTAGTGTCCAAACTTAACAGGGTCTGACTGCAATAATACTCTGAAGGAATCGAAAGAAAAACACATTCGCAACTCCATCCGCGCAACTCCTCTGCCACTTCTATAGTATCTCCTTCGTTCATCAGCACCTCCTCCGCCTTAGGAATGAAAGCTGCCAGCAGGTCCACTCCCAAGATGAGATCAACTCGTTTCGGTCGGTAATAGTTTGGATCTGCCAACGGGAGCTCTTGGATGTGATTCCATCGCTGCTGCGAAAAGCTGAGACTGGGGAGACAGGATGTTACGGAATTGAAAACATATTCAGAATTAACATCTAAAGAAAAATAGAGATTAATAATACTGTTGATTTCGAAATTGACCGCATACTTGCAACGACGACCGCCCCCGTGATCGTTTCAGATGAAATGACTGAACAACGTGTTCGGATACTATGGTTGCCTCGGATCCTTTATCGACGAGGGTCGGGTTTCGTACGGTAATACGAGCCGTAGCGAGAAGTACATTTCTCGAGGAAAGGTTGGATGGAGTCGCCGAATGACTTCTGTAAGCTGCGTGTGGCGCAGTTGTGTTGAGTGTTGAGACTGTTTGCATGGATGCTGGCGCCACAAACTACGATGTCGGGGGCTTGCCAGGATGCGATTGCGCGTGGTTAGACGGCTGGTTCTGAGCCGGAACCTGGAAATGTAGTAAAGTATTATGGCGCTGACCACAAACTTGGCAGCTCTTGTTGCTAGTTAAGCGAGAAAGAGCATGCGACTTACTCAATCAATTGACACATTATTTAGCCCTGCTGACTATATGCTTGCGCTTGTAAAAGTTTAACGACATAAAAAAGGGTTTGAGTGCTCCTCTGCATTATGCAATCGCACGCGTCGCACAACGAGCTTCGGTTCTCAATCCCATCCATACGATCGCTCAAAAATGATTCCAAATGAAGAGCTACCTTGGTGGTGCTCCCAAGCTATGTATGTCTCCTTGGGCAGCTTCGATGCTACGTAATGCGCCAACCAGTGCTGCAATTCCCCGTCCAAGGCTTGAACGCGGCGGAATGCAGCTAGGGAAACATTGACCGTGCTTAGCATCGACCGTATAGAATCGGTATTATCCTTTTGCAATCTTGGCAACGCATGGATTGCGCTGACGAGTCAAGGATTATTGTACCTTTTCATCAACATTCCCCAAGCGACTGCATAGCTTACATCTGTGAGCTGCATTTGACGAATGTCATTATCAGGGATGATTGGCAGTGAATCCTTGAGAAAGTATAATTTTTGGCATTACTCAGATTATTGTTGTTATGTATTAGGCTTGTAAAGGCATCATAGTAGCCTGGCCAGTCCACACAAGCTCCGGAATATTTAGGCATGTTTACTCGCAACTCCGGTCCAAGCTTATCTAAGTCTTCGGCGAGAGCGCAATAGGCGTCCTTGAATTCTGATTGAGAATTCTTCGTGCCATAATTCGAATCATCAAGACCATTTAAATTCACGATCACCGAGTGTGTCTCCCGAAAAGCGTTTCGTAATTCCTCCACTTGCTCCAGCCTTTTTGAGATAAATTTTAGTTTTCCTCGGAACATAGACTTAAAGGATTGGTGACGATATATCCGAAACAGATTTCATGTTGACAAGTGTAAACTAAGGCTTCCGCAACTCACCACGCCAAATTATCATGTAATAAAGAAATCGGTAAATGCTTGTCTCACACACAACTTGGTCACTCCGTCGTTTCTTTACCGTTTGCAAGCTCAGTTTAAAAGCTAGAGACTTTAGGAATTGTATTTTTTAATTAATGTTAATTATGTTATGAGTGTTGTACAAAAATCGGAGCGGGCCGGATCAGGGGACTATATCATATAGGTCCCTCTGAAACAATTGTGCAAATAAATATACGAATATAGTAATTTAAAAAAATTTCAGAATTCCGGTTCTTATTTAAAAAAAATTTGACGACTATAAAAATCGCATAAAAATCGAAATCTTTTCTTGTTTTTATCCCTGATTTAATTGAAATTGAATTATCTGGGCAAGCGAAATTTGTTCTTTCATCGAAATATTTAATTGCTTTATATTTTTTATATTTTTAGATATGATGTCGAGCGTCCGTAAAGTTGGTGTTGCAGACATGACAACCATGTCGGAAATAGATGAAATTGAAATAAACCAAAATCTTAATATTCGTTACTGTAGTGACATAATATATGTATCCTTTAAATATACAAATGTTTGTAATTATATCCAATATTTTGCTTGCGGTATAGAAGACATAAATTTTAATTATTATTTTTATACGATATTAGGATATTCAACGTCAATGAACTCTTTATTCTAGTTACAGTTAATAGGTTGAATCGCAGTGTAGGGCACATTTTCCTTACAAAGTATATACATTCTTAAGCAGCATTACAAGGCGTGGCAATCTACCGTCTGTCCGTCTGTCCGTCTGTTTGGATGTCCGCCCTAGGGTCTGTTCATCCGTCCGTCTGTCCGTTTCTACGTAAACTAGTCTTTCAGTTTTGAAGCTATTGGGTTGAAACTTTGCAAAAAGTCTTCTTTCTGTTTCAGGAAGTTGTTTATTATACTCCGAAATATAGCATTAAATAAGTACTATTTATCAATTTAGTTTTATAAAACGACGACTATATCATAAAGCTGCCGAAGGAACGATCGAAAAATATATCAAAATATTTTTGCATTAATGTCTACCCAAACTATCCAAAAATGTGTCACTAAAATTTCAGAAGCAATTAAAAATATTTTTAAAGATACAGGAGAAACCTTACGATTTCGTATATCCGATTTTTGATATACGAAAACTTTAACCCTTTAAGACTACTTTCCAAAATAATAGAAAAAAGTATTCAAATATTTTTTTTTTTGTGAATAAATGCTTCTAAGCTCAATTATGTGTTTAGAAATAACGCAGAATCATCGTTAAGGTGAGAAGAAAGGTAAGCCGGCCTGAAGGCACGCTTGCGGCTTCGAGTGAAAAAAAAAACATTTTCAAGTAATGAAGATTTATTTTATTTTTTCTTATGGTATTCTACAAAACAGTTTTTATTCGCTGTGCAGCATAAATGTAGATTGCATTTCGTGCATATGCATTGCGTTTGTGAAGTTTTACAGTGCTTGCAACATCTTTTTCCACTGCTTCGATCCAACCAATGTGGGAAATGGTTTACCTGGTCAAACCGCAAGTCCGATATTAGATGAAAAGCATGGGGAATTTATTGTTCGTCCTGGCTGAAAGGATGAAGGATGGGTTTCCCATCGAGGTGAATTTGCATTGTTGGTATTGATTGGAGGACCCGGTAAGTTTTTGTTTTTATGTGTCATCAGCCCTGCGGCTATTGTTTTTCACTTTTACGACTTATCTTAGCTGGAGGGAAAGATAGGGAACAAATTATTGCATTTATTTATATTTATTGCATACAAGATTAAATTCTCTTCTGACATATATTTTAATGAACAAATTTGAGATGACTGTTAAAATATATAACAATAAAACTTAAAAGTTTTGTTTAAATCGAATATTTATTTCCTTTCCCAAAAAGTCCTCGGAAAGCTTCTAAAGCAGGCTCCCCCTTAAGGGTCCATTCTGGTTAGTTGTGTCAAAAAATAGGCAATCTTCAGAAATTTTGGTTTGAACAAAGAAAAAAACATAGGTACCTCAAACTTTTCAGGTATATATAGTGCTTCTTCGAACTCCTTCTCGTTCTTCGTTTTACATGCTCGGTTTCTGTATAATTACGACTGAGTATAACGGTAGTTATATATAGCATTAGAGCTGAGATACTAGAGCTGAGATACTAGAGCTGAGATACTAGAGCTGAGATACTAGAGCTGAGGATACTAGCCGGATATTGCTATTTAACTCGCCGTCCAAAAATTGTTGGTTTGTACAGATACAAATCATCTTTACTCATGAGATGTTTCGTATCTTATCTTATCTGTAACGTTAAAAAGCCCATTTGTATAAATAACACTTAAAACACATACTTTAAAATGACTTTAGCAATTGAGCTTTTGTATTATTTATAAAATTGTTTTCTTACATGGGTGACATACGCTCCAGTTTGCAGAGAATTTTCATCGGGATACCTTAAACTACATTCATAGCGATAGCAAACTGAATCAAAACAGTGTCTGTCAAGATTTATAGTAATGAAAAAACTTTGCGTTTTCAGGGGAATCAATAAATTTTTTTTTTTTTTTTTTTTTTTTCTGTCCGTCTGTCCGTCTGTTTCAATACCGTTTGCGAGCGCAGTTTAAAAGCTAGCGATCTGAAACTTTTACAGTCGTCCTAAAACAAGTGTACGCAGATCAAGTTTGAAAACCGCCCCGATCGGATATCTATATCCCATAGCTCCCATAGGAACAATCGGATATAACGTGCAAGAATGGAAGATATTTCGTGCAGTGTAAAAGCTATTGACATAAATCTTTCCAAATCTTATTTTTTTATGCGTACCTTAATCAGGGTAAAAGCGCGTAACGATCGGACGTCTATATCCTATAGCTCCCATAGGAACAAATGGTAAAATCGGTTAAAATTTAATGATTTTTAGGATATTTCGCGCAGTATACAAGCTATTGACATGAATCTTTCCAAATCGAATTTTTTTATGCTTACCTTGATCAGGGTAAAAGCGCGTGACGATCGGACGTCTATATACTATATCTCCCATAGGAACAAAAGGGTAAAATCGGTTAAAATTTAATGATTTTTAGGATATTTCGCGCAGTATACAAGCTATTGACATGAATCTTTCCAAATCGTATTTTTGTATGCATACATTGATCAAGGTGAAAGCGCGTGCCGATCGGACGTCTATATCCTATAGCTCTTATTTATTTACGCATATCTTGATTTGGGTAAAGGCGCTTGCCGCTCGGAAGTCTATATCTTAAAGGAGATAGGAAAAATTGTTAAAGGCTGCGAAAGTATCCCTTTTTTTCTATTTGTATATGACATTTTTGCGGTATAAAAGCAATTGACTTGAAACAATGCAAATCTAGTTTACTTATGTATACCTTATTCCTTTCGCTACTTTTTCACTTTTAGCAATTTCGGCAAAGTCTGCAAGGGTATTAAAACTTCGGCTTGCCGAAGTTAGCTTCCGTCCTCGTTAGACATGTTTTTGCTGTCGTTGACAAAAGGATTTTTTTATCTTCAATTACAACTCATTTTATAAGCCAAAATATGGCCAAAATTTAAGTAAAAAATTACTCTTTTTATGAAAAGCGGTACAAAAAATTCATTTTTTAATTAAAAAACACATACACTATCAGAAAAACTTTGGTAATTTGATAATATTTTGATAAATCTGAGCACGTCAACAGGATTTGTTGTAAATAGGTCTTCTGAACTTCGAACATGGTTTACTGGAAATAAAGATAAGTTAACCAAGCCGTCAATAAAGCTACTTTGGCTATAGCTAGTAGTATATACGATTTCGTTCATGGATCACGTAACTCCAGGTATATTGAAATCACTTAGAACTGACAATTGATCGTTATCGGTAATATTTAAAAATGATTTCTTAGCGGACTGGGATTGAAATAATATGTATGCTCAGACGATAGTAAAATATATGAGCACGTGACATATATAAAATAACCAAGAAACGACAAATTTAAGCAAATAAATTTCAATTCAAGAAATAATTGTTCCCACCTGAGGGCACGACAACTAAGACTCCACCTCAGGTGGTCAGTTCAACTGACTTCAGCCAACATCGGCCCCGTTATACGCCTAACAGGCTTTAACTTATTTGAAGGGGCGCCAATTTATGGATGGTCCGCCGAAAAACTTTTATCTCGCTCGACCCTGACCGTGCCGTCCTCCCCTACGTGCCTGGCGACTATTCTCTAGGAGCCATTGCTGGGGCGGCAGGTTGACTTCGGCCACGGCGACGAGATCTCCCTCGGTGATGTTCGTCTGCCGCTGGTGCCGCTTTGTAGGCCAAGGACACATCGCTGCCAGAACACTTACCTGGCCTGAGAAGCTCCTGGTCCCTCCGGATTGCTGGTGTGGCGAACAGCGGCCCGCCTATCAGCATGTGACGGAGGTCAGCGCCTCCAACGCTTGGTTCGTTGCTGATCGATCTGAGTTCATCATTACCTTGATTCCCTCGAGGTTTTGTTTTTTTTTTGTACTAATATTTATTAAAGCGTTGATCAACCAACTTAATGGCTATAGGTCAGGAGGTCATTAAACGAAATTTCGTATTAAGCAACCAGGCTACACACTTTAATAACAAGCTAGCATCCATTGGGGTTAAAGCTAAGGTAAAGGAGACACGAGGACAGTCATTGTATTTGCTAGAAGACCACAACGGAAAAGAGCAAGGGTTTTTTTTATGCAAAAGATCTTTGGTAAAGTACCCTTTTTCAGCTTTCATCTCCTCCCAAAATGTATGTCAATAAAACCTATGGTGTGAGGGTACGAAATTAGTTGACCCAAAATTCAAACTTAACTGTCGTCAACAACAGACTTGTCCATAACAGCACTTAGAGTGCGGTTTACCCTAACAACGATAGTTCCCCTTGGTCTATGATCTGGCTACGTTCACAATTGACAAATGTCAAAACTCGATCTGGCAACCTGGTAAACTTCCAATAGAATATTTCCTCTCAACCAACGCGTTCTTTTACGATTCGTTCAGCCAAGCGAACAGACGCATAGCTTACAGCGAAAGGTTCTGAAAGTCAACGCGTGTGCAACATATACCACGCGCTCAAAATTTGTAGCCATGCCGGTGCACTAGTTCGGTTCCAATCTAACTCTCCCGTCCCATCTAGTTACATCTGGATCAACCCCTAAACGTGCAAGGAGCCAACTCGCGCTCGCACTTTGATCAGCAAATTGTGCGTGATTGGGGCGGCGTTGATCTCGAGCGCTGACCTACACCAAGGGAGTCACTTTGGGCAGCAACATAACCCCACATAGGCTCGTGTGCAACATAACCTCACATCGGCAACCCTCGTGCACATAAGCTCACATTGGCTCGGTTGTATACCGCGCGGCAGCACAATCCACAAATCTACGAAAGTAAGACGTAAATCCTAAGATCCTTTGGACTTCTTTTCTATCTGGCGAAATTGAAAAATCAACCTCTGTTCGAGTTTTCTCAACTCCTGGCTACTACCAATTTCTAAGATATATCCCATTAAGTCTATATTTCGCTTTTGATCATTTCT